ACCAAAAATATATGGCTCTAACCAGTTTGGCTCAGTGGATATGGCATCTCCCTGCGGACTTAAGGGTCCCAGGTTCGATTCTGGTCAAGGGCATGTACCTTGGTTGTGGCACATACCCAATGGGGGCGTGCAGGAGGCAGCTGATTGGTGTTTCTCTCTCATCAATGTTTCTAACTCTCCTCTCCCTTTCTCTCTGTAAAAAAATAAAATATATATTAAAAAATACACACACACACATACACACACACACACACACACACACACGTGCCAGGCCTTCTCCCAAGTCGATTCTGAATCTCTGAGTGGGCAAAGTAAGGCATTGTACAGAGTTCAAGTTGCTGAGGTGTTTCTAATGTGCAACCGAAGTTGAGAAAACCCTGCACCAAGGTTCCCCTGGAGGGTGTTTTTCGGGAGGTGGGGAGCAGGAAGCGCCTGTGCTGCCAGGAGCCCCAGTGGTGGCAGGGCTCATTGCTGTCAGTGAGCCTGAAGGCGGGAAAGGCAGTGAGGTTAGGAAATCTCTAGTAACTGTGATAGAGCGGAAAAGAGAATTCTTGAGGCTAGGCCAATTAAGTTCAATTAACTCTTTAGGGAAGTGAATATAAGCTGTTGTCTACTTGTGCACATGACACATCTTGAAATTTCAAGCAAAATCACCTTGGAACATCAGCCACAGGTGGAAATGTAGTGAATACCACAGGATTCTTGGAAGAGATTTTTTTTTTTAATTTTATTTCTATTTATTTTTATTTTTGGAGGAAGGAAGAGGGAGAGAGATAAAAACATAGATGAGAGAAATCATTGATTGGCGGCCTGGCCTGCTGGAAGAGATTTTTTTTTTTTTTTTTTTTTTAATATATTTTATTGATTTTTGTACAGAGAGGAAGGGAGAGAGATAGAGAGTTAGAAACATCGATGAGAGAGAGTCATCGATCAGCTGCCTCTTGCACACCCCCCACCGGGGATATGCCCGCAACCAAGGCACATGCCCTTGACCGGAATCGAACCCGGGTCCCTTCAGTCCCCAAGCCGACGCTCTATCCATTGAGCCAAACCGGTCCCGGCTGGAAGAGATTTTTTGATGGAAGCCTGGAACCTTGGGAGAAGGTAGGGCAGATAATTTCAGAAGAAAGTGAAGGGTATTTTCTGCATCCACAATTGCATTCTTCCAAGCTTTACTGTATGCTAACTGTGCCTGAATCATGTGACTCCAAAAGGAGACTGATTTTGTATGCTTCAGAAGTTCAAGTCACCTTGTTATATGTGGCTTTTGCTCAAAATGTTAGCAGACAGGCCCTGGCGAGGTGGCTCAGTTGGTTAGAGCATCATCCCGGTGAGCCAGGTTTCAGGTTTGATGCCCAGTCAGGGCACATGCAAGAATCAACCAATGAATGCATAACTAGGTGGAACAACAGTCGATGTTTCCCTCTCTCTCAAACCAATTAAAAAAAAAATGTTACCAGAAGGGACCTGGGCCCAGGGTGGTTCTGCCTGGGCCCTCTGGTGGTGTGTGGAGTCTTGATTTCCTGTAGGAAAATTTTCACATGCATCCAGCCGGGCCTGTGGTACAAAGGAAGGCCTTTCGAAGAACAATAGGAGTGAGAAAGTCAGAGAAAAGTGGGCTTTAAAGACGGGTTCAGGAGGTTAGCCTGGGACGAGCTGCCACTGCCCATTGCTCCGCTGGTGGACAGTCTTGTGGTTTTCTTTAGACTTTAGGAGAAAAACAGCAAAGATTCAAGTCATGGCATGCTCTAGTGAGAGCATAGTGGCTCCTTTGTCTTGAGGCTTTTATCTTTGGGTGACAGGAATTCTAGGGGAGATCTCAGGCGAGGGTCTCAACAGAATATTCATTAGCCTTTCAGGTATGTCCTAAATATGTTGATTGTCAAAATGTGTGTAGAGAGGGGCCAGGGTTCCTTTCTGATTAGTATATATATATATATATATATATATATAATATATATATATATATATATATATTTTATTGATATTTTGCAGAGAGGAAGGGAGAGAGAGATAGAGAGCTAGAAACATCAATGAGAGAGAAATATCGACCAGCTGCCTCTTGCACACCCCCTACTGGGGATGTGCCCACAACCAATGTACATGCCCTTGACCGGAATCCAACCTGGGATCTTTCAGTCTGCAGACCGACGCTCTACCACTGAGCCAAACCAGTTTCGGCCCTTTCTGATTAGTTTTATCTTTTACTAGAGGCCCAGTGCACGGATTTGTGCACCAGTGGGGTCCCTTAGTGAGGCCTGCGGGGATTGGGCCAAAACCGGCAGTCCAACAGTCCAAAGCTGCCTGATGCTTCTGCTTGCCACTCCTGCTCATCCTGGCCCCGCTGTACCTGCCACTGCCGCTGCTCGGTAGGCTCCCTGCTGCTCTGCTGCAGTCTCCGGGGGTGTGCTGGCCAGGATGCAGTGGCCAGCCGCAAGCTGGGCCTCTGGGTTGCAGTGGCCAGCTGTGAGCCCTGTGTCTGATGTCTGTCAGTCAACTGAGCAGTGGTCCTGCTGTGGGAGTACACTGACGCCCAGGGGTAGCTCCTCCGTTGAGCATCTGCCCCCTGGTGGTCAGTGTGCATCATAGTGACCAGTCGAACAGTTGCTTAGGCATTTATATATGTGTATATAATTATTTTTAAAATAATTATTTAGGTTTTTTTTTTTTATTTCAGAGAGGGAGAGGGAGAGATGGAAACATCAATGATGAGAGAGAATCATAGATCAGCTGCCTCCTGCATGCCCCACACTAGGGATCAAGCTTGCAACTCAGGCATGTGTCCTTGACCAGAATCGAACCTAGGATCCTTCAGTCTGCAGGCTGATGCTCTATCCACTGAGCCAAACTGGGCAGGGCATGATTAGTTTTATTTTTAAAGAACATTATTGAAGAGGGATGGAACCAAGGCTGGTCTGTCCTGGACAGTCTGGAATGTGTAAACCATTTGCTCCTGTGTTCTTGGTTAGGGAAGATAAAACCTTATGTTTGCCCCGCTGGTGTGGCCCAGTGGTTGAACTTCTACTCTGGAACCAGGAGGCCATAGTTTGATTCCTGGTCAGGGCACAAGCCTGGGTTTCAGGCTTGATCCTCAGTAAGGTGCGTGCAGGATTAATGATTCTCTCATCATTGATGTTTCTGTCTCACTCCTGCTCCCTTCCTCTCTTCGAAGTCAATAAAAACATATCTTTTTTTAAAAAAAATATATTTTTATTGATTTCAGAGAGGGAGAGGGAGAGAGACTAGTAATATTAATGATAAGAGAGAATCGTTGAACGGCTGCCTCCTGCCCACCCCATACTCGGGATCAAGCCTGAAACCTGAGTATGTGCCCTTGACCAGAATCAAAGCCGGGACTCTTCAGTTCGCAGGCTGACACTCTATCAACTGAGCCCAACCTGCTAGGGCAATAAAGATATATTTTTAAAAATTGGTGGGAGAATAGTGCCTGGCTGTTGCCACCCACCCCAACTGGTTTGCTTCCCACGCTACCTTCCACACGGTGCTGTCAGAGTCTCTGAACGCCTCCACCGATTTGGGCCGACGCCCATGCTCAGAGTGGGACATGCAAAAGGGGCTGGGGCCGAGTTGCTTCCTGGAAGTTCTGGAGGTCGGTTACACCACAATGTGAATATACTTAACACTGCTGAAGCGGACACTTAAAAAAGTTAGAATGGTTTTATTTTCATTTTATTTTTTTAAATATATTTTATTGATTTTTTACAGAGAGGGAGAGAGAGAGAGAGCTAGAAACATCGATGAGAGAGAAACATGGACCAGCTGACTCTTGCACACTCCCTACCGGGGATGTGCCCACAACCAAGGTACATGCCCTTGACCGGAATCCAACCTGGGACCTTTCAGTCCGCAGACCGACGCTCTACCACAGAGCCAAACCGGCTTCGGCAAAAGTTAGAATGGTTTTAAAAAAGATCGAATTTTGTGTTTTATTTTTTGCTAATCCTCATTCGAGGATACTTTCCCATTGATTTTGAGAGAGTGGAAGGGAGAGGCGTTAGGTCCACGCCAAGAGACGTGAGTTTAAGAGCTGGCATCACCTCCCTCCCCGCCGCGGAGCCGTGGGGGTCAGCCCGAAGGGGCTGTGTTCTCTGACACAGGGCTGGGTCAGGGCTGCCCAGCAGCGGGGAGCTGCCTGAACCTCGGAAGAGAAAAGGATGTCTGGGGGGTGCATAGCTCAGGCAGAGGGGGCGCCCCAGGCGGCTGGGGGGTGCATCTGATCTGCAGGGGCAGGCTGTTTGCTCCAAGCTATGGGAAAAAACTTAAACTATAGATTTCAGGAAACACGTCCAAGCAGGAGGGGCCAGGGGTAGTGCATCCTCACAAGGGGGCCAGGGGCAGACAGAGAAACATCACATCGCTCCCCCGCGAGCGGGGACCAGGTCGGAGCCTGCGCCGCCCTAGGCCCGAGTCCAACCCGGACCTTCCCAGCGCAGGCTGACACCTGCAGACCGGCCAGGGCTCGAATTACGTGTTTTAAACATGCGCAGTCTGTTACAGCCAATTGTGGCAGGAAGGTTTAAAGAAGAAAAAGACATGACAGTAGTGTGCCTGACAGGTCTGTGGGCTCCAGTGGGGCTGCTCATTCAGAGTTGGCAGCTCGTACCGGGGTCACAGTCCCTGAGAGGGCGCGGGCCCCAAACCGGACCTGGTGGGGACCAGGAGGCGGGAGTCCGCGGCCCTCCCGGCGGCCCCCGCGGCCCAGGCCCCCCTGAGCGTTCGCTGCGCGCGCACGCGGCGGCGTGGGCTGCCTCCCGCCTGGCCAGTCAGGGCACCTATTTTTTGTTTATCAAAATTCACAAAATATCTCTGAATATTTGCCCGGGAGAGAGTGAAACATTCACTGATGGCCTCTCTCACTTTATTTTATTTTTGTTTGGATGAACAATGGGGAGGTGTCGCCGGTGGAAGCAGGCATCTAAGAGGACGGCTACGGCCGCCAGGCCCCTGCCTCACGCCGCTATAAATAGCCGGGCCTCGGCGCCGCGGGTCTCTTTGTCCGGGGAATCGTTCCATGGCGTCTGTTTGCGAGGTGCCGTGGCGACCTGCCCCCAGAGTAGGGGGTGGTGGCGGTGCGGCGCCCCCATCTCTGCAGGGCTCCCCGGCAGGTACTACGGGGCCGTGCTGGGGAGGGTCCGCAGTCTCGGGCTGAGCAGGATGAATCGCCGTCACGGACTAGAGCTTCTGATGTGTGCGTGACCCACTGCTGGGAACGGACCCAGTCCGGGCATGGGGACTCGACCAGAGTCGTCCGGCTTTCGCCGCGTCCTTGGTTTCCCTATAGGCCCCAGATTCCCGCAGGCGGGCCCACCGCGCCTTGAGGGTAAGTGGGTGTGCGAGACGGGATGGCTGCGGTCGCCCGGGTTAGGACGGGGATGATGACTCCAGGTGACTCTGAGTGTGTCTCTGACGCCATCACCGCAGCGCGCTGACCTCCTCCCCCCAGGGCTGCCTGGGAAGAAGTTGGTGGCCAGCAACCCTTATTCACCACTTAATTCCTGTTTCATTTCTCCATCAGGGGCTTAAGGTGTCCACCGGTGTCATCCTTAAGGAACGGTGAGTGGTAGCTGTGAGAGCGCCCTAGCTTCCGCTCAGACCCTCTTCGCATGGAGCTCTACGGAGCCTGCTGCCATCTAGTGAGCAAAGCAGCAGTGTATCCATTTCATTTCATTTCATTTGGCGATTTTCCACGGGACACTTTTTGGCTTACATTTCTTTTGTGATGATTGCTTTTGAGAAATCTGTAACTCCCTATATTTTATTTCTTTTCCTACTCCCAAGTCCCCTACATTCTGTGCAGTTGTAATGTCATTTCCCGCTTCTTTCCTTTGCAATCCCTGTGTCTTTGAATGTACTAGGTCCCTTCCCAGAGTGGCTTTCCCTGATCCAGGTCTCCCTGAATTGGGAATGATGATTTCTCAGACTAGAGTCTCTGACGCTGGTTCTGAAGTGAAAAATTAAGTTCTGACTCGTTTGGGGAACTCTGGATATTTGGGTCTCTGAGAAGAGCGCCTGGGTGGGTCCTACCTCTGTCCTCATGGCGGCCCTGTTTCCATCTTCCTAGCATGTGTTCTGGAAGCCCAGCCCGGCGCGCCCTTTCATAGATGACTGCTGACCTGGTGGACTGAGCCTGCTGGAGGGCTGGGATGCCCAGGTGATGGGTGGTTCCTGCCACTTCAGGCTATGACAAGAGCCAGGGGCCTTCTCTCTGGCTACTATGGTGAGTCTGCTGGTTTTTCTTGAAACCCCGGAGTGGTGGTGATGACCTGGTTGGACTAGAGTCTCTGAGCATTTCTCTGAGGATCTTTGAAACCATCTGATCCACTCATACCATCTCCCTTTTCCACCCTGTGGCAGCTTCCCTGCCAGCCCAGCTGCTAGATGTTTTTGATGGCAGTTGCCTGTATGGTTCTAATACATGCTCTTTTTATGACATTTCAGGGTTTTGCTCACTCAAAGGATGCTATCTGGCGTTGGGCAGATCCCAGGAACTCCCATCTCTCCTGAATTAGCCAGTGTGAGCAGCTGTCAACTTGCCGGAGGAAAATAACTGCCTAGAAATTTGGGAACAAATATCAGTAGCTTTCACTTGTTTAAATAGGTATACTGTATGGCTTTTTCAAAACGATTCCAATAAAACATATTAAAGCAAATGAAGTGGATTCTTTGGTCTCAGTGATGGTTCCAAAAAGACTTCAGGATGTGAAAGGTGTAACTACCAGTGAGGCAGTACCACCGTTCACATCTAGCTCTACCTTTTTATAGGTATGTATTATATGTACAAAAACTAAAATCACATTGTGCTATACATTAAAATTGATGTTAAGGATTTCTAGATTGGCCACCATCGAATTCTAATGTACTAGATGCTATTAATAAACTTGGGGTTTTTGTGATAATACTGACAGCTGCCTAACAGGTTGTCTAGATGTATTTTAAAAGAATATTTGGCTCAGTGTATAGAGGCTCAGCCTGGGGACTGAAGGGTTCCGTGTTCTATTCTGGCTAAGGGTACATGTCCTGGTCGTGGGCTTTTGATCCCCAGTAGGGGGTGTGCAGGAGACAGCTGATCAATGATTTGCATCAATATTTCTCCCTTTCTGAAATAAAAATTAAAAGAATATACTGATGGTTGCAGGGCATGGCGAGTTTAATAAGTCATAGTTTTACAGGATTATTAAAATGGATAGGGTTGGTAGTGATGGTGGTCATTACTCTGGGTGGTAATTTTTAACTGAGGAGTTGATATCTTTCCATGATTTTTAGAGGAGACTAGAGAGGAGTGTGGAGAGAAGAAACATGTATTTGTGCCTTCCTCAGGCAACCTGGGTGGGGATCCTGCCATCTGGGTAATTGCCCTGATCTGGACCCCGTGGTGTGCAGGCTGATGTATTAACCACTGTGGCACAGGGCAGGACTCCAGATGGTAATTTTAAAATATATTTCAGAGAAGGGAGAGACACAGCAATGATCTCATGCCCCCTGCTAGGGATCTAGCCCACAGCCTGGGCATGGGCCTGACCACTGAGCCCCGGGGGCTGTGCTTGGCTCCTGTTTTTTTTGTTTTTAAATATATTTTATTGATTTTATACAGAGAGGAAGGGAGAGATAGAAACATCGATGAGTCATCGATCAGCTGCCTCTTGCACATCCCCTACTGGGGATGTGCCCGCAACCAAGGTACATGCCCTTGACCGGAATCGAACCCGGGACCCTTCAGTCCCCAAGCCAAAACGCTCTTATCCATTGAGCCAAACCGGTCCCGGCAGCTCCTGTTTTTAACAAATTTTATCCAAACATTTCCACATTCGTCCCCACACATAAACTGATCAAAGATCTTTTCCATACTTTATTTTTCTTAGCACTTTTGCTAGTTTTTCTTGAAATTGCCCTTTTACTCCTAGAGGGCAAGGTCACCAGCTCCCATTTGCTATTCTCTGATTAAGGCTTTTCCTGTGCCTTCAGCCTTAGGCCCCAAATTTCATATTATCCCCGTTTAGAAAGAACTTGTTTTCTGGAAGGTGGATTAAAGTATGTGTATGTAATTAAAATCCTTCACTTGGCTCCCTAATGTCCTCAGAGCAAGAACCGAACTAATCTGCCAGTAAGGTTACTTTCACAGGGGATTGGAACGGGTGGTGGTGGGGTAGAAGAATTGGGTTTTCCCCCCATGGACTTTGGAGTCATGACCATTAAATATCACAATAGAAGGTCCCAAGCTATTCTATTTGGGTCTCAGGCCTCATTGTGTATATCTTAGCCACCATGGAATTGGTACAGAGGTCTATACTTCTTGCATGCTTCATTTCATTGAATCACTAAAAAGGAGCTTTGTCCATTTTACAGCCAAGAAAAGGAAGGCTCCCTGATGTTAAATAATTTAAGCCCAGGGATTAGAAGTACCAGGATTCAAATTCCATTGTCCCCGCTGTACCCAACCATCACCCAGCTGCTTTTTCCAATCAGAGGAAACCAGCTAAATTGTGGCTTTATCGTTCCTTACCTGACTTGAAAAGGTTTTGTATTGACTTTTTAGAGGAAGGGAGAAAGAAACATCTACCATGTGAGTGAAACATTGGCTCGGCTGCCCCCTGCATGCCCCTACTAAAGACGGAGCCTGCAACCCAGGCGTGTGCCCTGACCAGACTGGCAATTCTTTGGTTCATGGGAGGATGGCCAACCAAGTGAGCCACACTGGCCATGGCCCCTGGCTGTTCTTAATGCTTTTATTCTATATCCTTGATACAATATTTAGGTTTATGTCTTGAGTTATGGGTTAATTCTAGTTCGGTTGCAGCTGTTTTTCGTAAGCCCATTTTTCTTTTTCATTTTGTTGGTTAATCCTCACCTGATAATTTTCCGTTGAGTTTTAAAGAGTGGTAGGGAGAGAGAGACACATGGATTGGTTACCTCCTGCATGCACCCGACCAGGGCTGGGGAACCTGTAACCAAGGTTGCCTTGTTCAGACTCTAACCCGGACCCTTCAGCCCATAGGCCAGTGATCCAAACCGGCTCGGGCTTAAGCACTTTCAGGGTGACCATCACACAGGAAGTTAAGATTCTGGTGTCAGACTAAACACTTGACTGTAATTTTGGCTAAATTTACTTACCTGTTCACAATTTCCTCATTTGTAAAGAGATAAAACAGCCGAAACCTGAAAGGTCCCAGGTTTGATTTTCGTCAAGGGCATGTACCTTGGTTGCGGGCACATCTTCAGTAGGGGGTGTGTAAGAGGCAGCTGGTTGATGTTTCTCATTGACGTTTTTAGCTCTCTATCTCTCCCTTCCTCTCTGTAAGAAAAATCAAAAGTATAATAAAAAAAAAAGGAATAAAACAGTACCTACCCTTACAGAGTTGTTAAAAGTATGTAAATAAATGCACTTAAAACAGTGCCTGGCACACAGCAAACCATGTTAGGTATGAGCCACAGTCCTATTTCAAATAGCTTGTTAACAGCCTAGTTGGCATCTTGGCCTTCAGTAGCCCCTGGCTGCCATCTCTGATGCCAGCTTCCTGTCTCCACGCTGTTGGTTCCGTTGCCCTGCTTTCTATGAGTTGATTTGTAAAGACCTCCACCCCAAGACCCTCTTTCTCATCCCACCAGGTTCTGGGAGTCTCCCCTAGCTCTCCTGGCAGTTACTCTGAGCAGAGACTGGCCTAGCTCAGCCACCCAGACAGCAAACCTGGGCCTGGCCGCCTGTCTCATCACAGGAATACTCACCAGTGCCCACCCCTCCACCCTGCAGTTTGCTCCCGCCAGGACCCTGGCAGCCTGCTGGGCTCCTTGCACACTGAATCCAACTTATTTGCAAGTCATGCTGGCACTGCTTTGAAAACACCCAGGTTAGACCACTTCTCAGACCTCCTGCTACTCCACTCTGCTGGAGCCACCATGGACTCACCTGGGTGGCCCACATGACCCCAACAGCTCCTATGGGGCTGGCTGCCACCCGGGACCCCTGGTGGTCCATCTGCACAATAGCCCGAGGGGTTCTTCCAAATCATGCCGGGTCTTGTGCCAAGAATCCTAGTGAGAGCCAATCTCCACAGGGACCATCCACCAAGCCTCCTGGTCTACTCTGACCTCTGACTTCCTCCTCCACTGAGCACAGAGCCGGGAGCTGGCAGCTGCTCCTGTCTGGGTCCAGGGAGTGGTCTTCCTCAGCGAGGGTCAGCCTTGGTCTGTGGGGCAGATCCAAACTTGCGCCAAGGAAGTTTGTGAATGTCATTTACTAGGTGTTTCGGTCGATGCGGATTTTGTAATCAAAGAAAACAATTCCAAGAGAAACATCAAAAGTGCTTTATTCAAATAACGTCCATTGCTCCCATATCTTTCAGGTAATATATGGGTACCATCCCAATAGAAATTTACTTTTTTAAAAATATATATTTTACTGATTTTTTTAATTTATTTTTTTACAGAGAGGAAGAGAGAGGAATAGAAAGTTAGACACATCGATCAGCTACCTCCTGCACACCCCTACTGGGGATGTGCCCACAACAAGGTACATGACCTTGATCAGAATCAAACCCAGGACTCTTCAGTCTACAGGCCGACGCTCTATCTACTGAGCCAAACCGGTTACAGCAGAAGTTTCCTTGTTTTTCCATTCAGAGACCCAATTTTCCACTTTGTACGTTTTGAAGTGCTGTTCAGAAAGTGCATGTTCCATCGATCGGAACAAGTGGTCCTCTGAAGGAGCAAGGTCTGGTGAATAGAGTGGGTGGGTTAATACTTCCAGGCAAGATCTTTTCACGTGTCTTTTTTTAAAAAAGATTTTTTATTAAATTTTTACAGAGAGGAAGGGAGAGGGATAGTTAGAAACATTAATGAGAAAGAAACATCAATCAGCTGCCTCCTGTACACCCCCTACTGGGGATGTGCCCGCAACCAAGGTACATGCCCCTGACCGGAATCAAACCTTGAGTCTGCAGACCGATGCTCCATCCACTGAGCCAAACCGGTTTTGGCTTAATGTGTCTTTAACTGGTTTTGAAGTGTGTGATGGTGCATCATCATGAAGCAAAATTACTTTGCCGTGTCTTCTGGCACATTCTGGTCATTTCACAATGAAAGCATGCTTCAAATTGATTATTTGTTGTTGGTAGCGATCAGTATTAACGGTTTCACCTGGTTTTAGAAGTTCATAATACACCACACCTTTCTGATCCCACACCAAACGCAGAGCATTGTCTACTTTCCGAAGCAATTTGGCCTTGCCCTGGTTGACTTGGATCAACCCATGATTTTGTGCGTTTGGGATTCTCAAATCCACTTTTCACCAGTCACAATTCTATGCAAAAAAAGACTTGCTTTCACGCCGTTGAAGCAACATTTTACTGATGACTTTTCAGTTTTCCATTTGTCTTTCCTCCAGTTGATGTGGCACCCACTTTCCTTTCTTTAAAATCTTTCCCATTGCTTGTAAAGGATCGGAAATTGCTGAGCCACGTTGAATCTTTCTGCAAGTTGTTTTTGAATTTGACACCCATCTTCATCCAATAATGCTTGTAATTGTTGTTTTTCAAATTTTTTCAGTTGACCTGGATGTTCTTTGTCTTTCAAATGAAACTCATCACTTTTAAAGCGTTTAAGCCAGCGTTCACAAGTATCTTGAATTGGAGCATGTTCACCGTACGCAATGAGGTGC